GATCCTGAACCAGGCAACGCTTCGCTGAGCCCGAGTCCTCCCCTCTGGAAAGAGGAGGGTAGTATCCAGTGCTTCACGGGGCCTGACTCAACCTGGGGTTGCAGAGCCGTGCTCTGAAAGCATCTCAGTAGCCCAACAGGTGGTAGCAAGCAGGAGCTGGGCTCCCCGCTATATGCCGTGAGGGCTGCTTCACCCTAAAACCGGTCCTGTCTCCCGTAACGCCATAAGAAACAAACCAGTAAATAAAAGATGGAGAATCGCCAACAGGTGGAAAATTCCACCGGGGTGATGGCTCAGCAACAGGATGGGAGACACTTCACCTACAAGTGTCTGGTTTCAGCCTGACCCCGTTGTTCCCGACACCCCGAGGACACCCAGCCCACCCATCCGTGGACTTGTGTACGACGAGCCGGGTCGCGTCTCAGCCCCGTTGTGAAAGGGTTGGCTTCTCGGGTCGTGCAAAATGCCCTCCTGATTCTGCGCGAGCCAAAGCCTGGGTTGTTTGGAGGACGAGCTGCTCCCAAACTCTCTCCTTCAAGAGGACAAACGACGCTGTGTTTTGCACAGCGTGGGAGACATGAGAGCTGAGAGGGCCTTCACGGTTCAAACTGCATTGTTAGCTCCCATGTATTTCAGTGGTGAAACTGGGAAACGCAAATGTCAAGTTAAAGAAAAAAAAAAAAAGAAAAATAATGGGAGATATAAGAAATAGGGAACCAAGCCCCAAAAAGGTTGGATACTGATTGTAGGGAGAAGATCTGGGACTGGCTCTTATGTGCTACTTTTACTTTTATGAATAAATGCCTGGAACATGAATAATAAAGACTTCCAGCAGCCCCAAGTGGCATAGATGAAAGCCTGCCTAATTGGTAGATCCCAAAATACCATTGCAAATAGCAATGGTTAGAGTTTGATCCAGATTGTGAGCCCAAGAAATCCCTAGCTGCCTTCAGGGCTGGAGGGGGAGGTGTAGCTCACTGAGCACTTCACTGGAAATGCTTGGTTTGCTTTTGCCTCCTTGGGGCTTGGCCCAGCTTTTGGAGCGACAATCCCTTGCATATCGAAGCCCCGCGTCCAGAGCTAAGCACCGGCGAGCTGCGGTCGGCGGGGTTGTCCTGGGCTGCCAGGTCGACGTTCGGAGCGGGCGAGCCAGGGGTGCGCGGGTAGGTGGGGGAGCAGGAGACATTCCTGCCTGGCCTGTCCGTGCTCATTCTTGAATGCCCTGCCTGGCTGATCCCTCCTTGCTCCGTAAGGCAACAGATACATCCATTGACCTGCTGTGGGCATGGCCCTGCAGCTTCAAAGGCTGGGTGCGGTTACAGGCTCGCTCACCATCAATCCCCCAAGGCTAAACCAGATGACCCTTGAGAATACTTCCAGCATCAAAACCAGACTTAAGGTTTCCTAAAAGGTCTTTAAATGCTGAGCATTTCTTTATCCACCTTGGTTCTCTGGGTAAATCTCTTTTTATTAGACCAACTCAAATAGTTGGAAAAAGTTCTTCTTTGCAAGCTTTCGGGTACAAACACCCTGCTTCCCGAAAGCTTGCACAGAAGAATTTGTCTAACTGTTTGAGTTGGTCTAATAAAAGACATCGGATTTACCCAAAGAACCTTGTCTGTGTCCTTTGACGACCCCTTTATCCACCCTGGGTGGGTTTTTGGGTTGCTGTTGACCCAAAACCCTAACCCTAGGACACCAGGACCTAATCCTTTGGTAGGGGTAGCGTGGGCTTTCAAAAATTCAGCAGCCCTGGAAGGTACTTTGGTTTGAACCTAGTCTGGGCCGTTCAGTGTGGACGGGTGCATTCGGTTTGGAAATTCAAAGTCAAACCCGTTTCTGACTGAGCCTCCAGCAAAAGCTGCCCGAGTGTCGGGCACTAGAGAAGCAGGAGGGGGGGAGAATCGGGCTGAAGGCTGAAACCGTGCTTCAGCTGTTGCAGGTACAAGGGCCCGTGATGATGCACGGGGATGGGCAACGTGCCCTGGGACGGATCGTTGTCCTCTCACCCGCGCTGGGTCCCACCTGCATCGGAGGCAACTCAGAGCTGCTTTCTGCGCTGCCTTGAATACGGAGCTCAGCAGGGCACGGTCCACATCCCCTCTTCATGCTAAAGAGCCCAGGAAGAGAAAGAGCAAGTCGGTAGCATTGTCCTGCCCTATGATGGGCACAAGTAGGTCTAGACATTCAAGTCTCTCTCCCTCTCTTTCTACAAGAGCCAGGGGGTTGTGCTGTCAGCAAGCGTTAGAGGACTGAGACACGAATGCTGCTAAGTGAACAACCTCCAGTCTCCAAACACAGGGCAAAGCAGCAAGGAAGGATTTACTTCTAGTCTCCTTCACCACGAGCCTCTTCATGGAGGTCCTATTCACCTGGAGCATGCAGACAGCCCTCATTACCCAAGTTTCCGGGTTAGTCATTAATGGACGTGTCCTCACAGTCCCCCTGTGAGACTGTTCCCACAGTACAAATGGGAAACTGAGGCACTGGCAGGCCAAATAATTTGTCCAAGGTCACACAAGTAGTCTGTGGCAGAGATGGGAATTGGACCTCATTCATAGAGGGTGGGAGGGACCTCAGGGGGGTCACATCTAGTGCAACCCCCTGCTCCAAGCAGGACCAGCCCCAGCTACATCATCCCAGCTAAGGCTTTGTCTACCTGGGTCTTAAACACCTCCAAGGATGGAGATTTCACCTCTCTGGGTCACCTGTTCCTGTGTTTTACTACCCTCTTCATGAGAAAGTTTTCCCTAAAATCCAACTTCAACTTCCCTAGCTGCAACTTGAGCCCATTGCTTCTCATTCAGGCCGGCGTCTTACGGGTTATGTAGCTTTAGCAAAAAAAGGCAAACTTAATTCCTGGGAAGACCAGCGCAGCAGCTGGATCTTTCATTTAATGATACTGTCTCCAGGCAACACCCAGCTTGGATAAATTTAACAGGCTGCGATCCAAGCGGTGTATATGCTTAATGGTTTATTACGGCACCATCCACAAAAGTGTAAGAACAAGAGATTAGTCTGAGGTTTACAAAAGGTCACAAAACACATGAAATAAAACCAACACGACATTTCAAATCCACGAGGGGAGCAACATAAGGCCCTCACGTTGCCCTGTGGAAGGAACTATGTGCTAAACACGGCGGCTGAGTTACCTTAGAGCAAACCTGGTGCGGCAGCGATAAGGGGTGAAAGCAGAAAGTGATGCTGTACAATATAATCTCAGTCCACGACTCGGAAAATATATTTCATCTACAGTTCCTGCAGCATTGGAGGAAAGTGCAATACACAGAGACGAAGCACTCCGGGAGGGTGGGCAGAGCAGGAGTGGTGGGGGGCACGTCTGGTCCACAAGAGACTGGGTGCAATGTTTTTCAGACTCCTACCGTTTGGGGCAAGCTTGGTCTGCCAACCGGTGGGCACCAGCGTGATGTGCCAGGCAGCAGGGCGTGCATGCATGTGTATATCACCACAACAAAGTGCGTGTCTACATGTGCTTTGACATGCGCCTAAACTTAATGCGCATTAGTCTAATGTGCATTAAGGTGATTTAGACACACGTCTACATGTGCACTTGCTAATGCACCTGCAGGTGTGCGGACTGACTTGGGACAAAATTATTCCCAAGTCAATGGACACACACTGCGTTAATGTGCATTAGTGCATCTAGGCAGACAAGGTTCCTTGGGTGAATTTGATATCTTTTATTAGACCAACCCAAATGGTTGGAGAATAGTTATTAAGCAAGCTTTCGGGTTCAAAAACCCTTCGTCAGGCTCAGGAAGCTGCAGCTACACATTTGCTAATGCGATTGAGCTATTAACGCATATATTTGATACCTGCTTTATGCCATTTTAAGGCACATTAAGGGCGCACGCATGTAGACACCCGCTCTTAATGCACCTTAAATCAGGCTAATGCACATTAAATGTTCACATGTAGACACACCCAAAGGCTCCAATTGAGATGGTCCTGGCCAACAGGGAGCCCCACTCCCACCCAAAACTGAGCCACTCGGGTTAATGCTGAGTGTCTCTCAGCTGGAAGACACTTTCTGCCTATCTCATGGCTCCCCCAGTGCAGAGTCTCTGTCCCGCACCTTGCAGAAGTATTGCCCAGAGGCCTAGGTGCGGTCTCTTGCTTTTGGAGTGCAATAGTCCTCCCACAGTGCTTAGTGAAGTCACTCACTCCGGACACTGGTACTCATCATGACTCTACATTTCCCAGATGCTCCCAACCCTGTTCCCAGTTGCTCCTTGTTCCTTCCCCTCTCCCTGAGCGTGCATGCAAGAAGGGTGGGGGAGACCGGGGTGTCTGGAGCAGACCTGGTAGAGTTAGAGGTAAGCAACACATTTTTCCACAGTGCTTCTCATCCTTGCCACCCCCCTGCCCCCACCTTCAAGCAGATGGCTATTGGTAGCAGCCAGTAACACTGATAATTAGGGTTGCCCTAAGCCAGTACAAACACGGTCCCATGAACCAGAGGGAATCAAAGTCATGGCTTGTAGGATCCTGTCTCAGCCAACTAGTGCAAGTCAGTCACAGTCACACGCAGAGGTATGTTCCTCACTGCCGGCCCAGTAAAACACCAGCATCCGAACCCAAATGGAGATCTTGGACCCTAATGAGAACCAAGGCAGGATCGCTGCCTCCTGCAGCTGCTAATCAGTGCCCCTTCCTGAGCCACATGTGTTCACTGATGGACAGATCCCTGTGTCGGGTACCAGTGGAAATGGCGTAGGACACCAGCTGGCGACCTTCTCAGACCATGGGCAGGAAATGGTGCAGCTCATCAGAAGAAAGTGGGCGCCAGGACCCATCTGCTACAGCCTGGAAGGAGACCCTGGAAAACCCCCATTCCCACAAAAGCTCCCCACTACCAAAACCCCAGGTCCACGAGCCAGATCCAACAGCCTTACAGTCCAGATCCTGTCTGTGGGCTGTAGGTCGCCA